TTTTTTTTTCACAAGAAAGATCAGTGTGAACATGCATGGCAGGATGTAAACAGCCGGACATTCATGTTTATCCACTTCATACTCCAGCACAGCCCCAGAAAAAAAAGATGCTTTCATGTGCCATTTACAGTGTTGGTTCTAAGCTCTCTTTCCTGAGGATAGCTCTTACAGGAGCTGGGAAATGAGTATCCTGATTTATTCCCCGAAGTCCCAAAGAACCACCAAATTATATTTGAAGGTAGTTTACAGGTTTTAATGGCAATTTGTTTGAACTTCTCACTGGTTTACCTTTCTGTATCACAAAAGGTTTTGGGGAACAACTTGAACTCTCTCAAAGTAACTTCAAGATGTTTCCCAGCTTTGCAGTGAAAGCCTCAAGCCAAGCCTACACACTTCAAACTCAGGTACGCTGAACTAGAGTTGCAAAGATGCGGGGCTGCAGTAGGGTGGTCACACACCGTCAGTGTGAGGAAACAAAGTCGTTTTGCAACATGGAAGAGTCAGTGTTGTTTGCCCACTGAAATCCTTCATTCAGAGGTCCTGCCGGGCATAGCTCCCGATGGGCTCCCTCACAGACCCGTGCGCCAAGGGGTAAGGGCAGGAGGGGGCCGGAGCAGCAGACTTGGCAGGGTCTGGCACCAGGGGCGAGCACGTCTGGAGTGTGGAAAGCAGGGGAGTTGGGCTGCGGGGTCCAGGGAGCGATGGTAAGCACCTTGCACCTGTCTCGGGAAAAAACACAAGCGGGGAAATGTGGTCACATGAGTCGCGGTGTGTGTGTAAGTCCGTGACAGTCCTCCAACCATTGCCAAACAGGAACGAAGGGGGAGACGGTGAAATCGAGCCTCTTGACCGGGAGGGAGGCGCGAACTGCCCGGAGAGGGGTGGGGAGAGTCGGGGAGGGCGGGCGAGGTGCAGCCGGGTCTGAGTCAGCCCGACCGCGCGATGTGCGCCGAGGGCAGTGCCCGGCACGGCGCCGCCGGGAGACTGCGTCCCTTCCCGTCCCGTCCCGTCCCTTCCCGTCCCKTCCCGTCCCTTCCCGTCCCGTCCTTCCCCGCCGCCCCTGCGCCCCGAGTGCCCGCGCCGGCTGGACCCGCTCCCGCCGCGGCCGCTGGCAGGGCTGCTCCGCCCTCGCCCTCCTTCTCCCCCTTCTYCTCCTCCTCCTCCTCCCGCGCGGGGCGAGGGCAGCCCCGAGGGCGCCCGGCGGGCCGGGGGGGCCGCACCGCCAGCCGGGACCGGCTGCACCATGTGAAGCGGCGGGGCTGCCCCCCCGCCCCGMGCCGCCCTCTCCCGCATCATGAGGGACGGGGATGTGGGGCAGCACCCACGCCGAGCGCAGGTAGAGACCGGGCGGCTCCTCCGCCTCCTCTCCTGCATGGTCCTCGTGTGCGGGGCGGAGGTCGCGGCGCTCGCCGACTTCTCAGGTACGGGGCGGGCGCCGAGTGACGGGCTGGGGGCTGCGGGGCTGCGAGGGGCCGGGCGGAGGCGGGCTCAGCGCGGACGGGCTCAGCGCGGACGGGCTCTGGCGGGGGTTGCCAGCCCTCCACGGTGCCCCGAGGGGACCCGCCACACCCCGGGCAGGGGCCGCGCAATTGCCCGGAGCGCTCCGTGCTCCAGATCCCCTCTGCGGGGCCGGGTCCCGGGCCTGCACCCCCAGAGCGCGGCTCGGATGTGCCCTGAAGAAGGCGGGGAGGAGGAGAGGGTCCAGGGCTTCCAGAGGGGCCGGGTGGGAAGGGACTCGAGGCGCTGCGTGGTGGAAAGGCTGTGCGTGGATCGGCCAGGGCCTGACCAAAAGTGCGTGGAAGTCCCTGGAAAGGTTCCCACTTTCTCCTGGAGACTTGGAGTCGGGCCCTGAGSGAGCGAACAAGTGCTGCACTTCTCTCTAAGAGGGAAGCTTCGTATCACCGGGATGAGGGGWGTCTGCCCAGGGAGCAGAGGCGCCAGCTGTCGCTCAGAAATCACAGACGTGATCCCTGGGAGGGTGCTGCATCGGTCCTAAGCGAAGTGACTGCAGGAAGTGGGAATATATCCTTGTTTCCATCAGGATGAAGAAGCAATCTCTATTTTTTTGAGAAAACTGCACTCCTGCACATTTTCCAGGGCTCTAGGGCATTCCACTGCTGTTGGAAAGTTATTTAGAAGAGCTGTTTCTCTCCTTTCACTCCTGTCACAGTGAGCACAGCATAGTCCTGGCAATTGGAAGCTTAAGGAACTGCCTCTAGGGCAGAAAGCAAATCTTACCTGTATTGAACAAAGCAGAACTTCCCAAAAGCCAGTCGAGTGCACTGGAACAAAGTTAATGTGTAATTAATAGCCAAAATGTGTTGTTATGCATTTTAATATAGTTCGTGTTGGTACAGTTCAAAATGCTGGTCATGGTTCTGTAGAAACTATTTTCTTGGCAACAGAAAAATACAGTTTATAGTTTTTTCATTGTGTCTGGCTCCACGAGGCTGAAAATTTCGAAGCAAGCAGCCACAAAATGTAAAGACCAGAATTAGGTACTTGGATAAGCTACGTTTGTCATATTAAATTCCTTTCACATGTAAAAGACTTATAAATGCTTGCTGTCTCATTCTTTGCTGGTTTCTTTTGCTTAACGGCTGTTTTGGATGTTAGTTTTGGAATCACATGGTGGTTCTCCACAATAACATAAAACAAATGTTCAAATTTTCCCTTTCAACTAGCCACTGAACTAAAAATGATCCCTTTATCTGGGAAAGTTCCTTTCATAAAAGTCTATGCATTTTTCAAATKATGTTATTTAGATAAAGTTATCCAAGATTAATTTCAGAAGTGCAGCTGTCTTCAGTATTCATTGTGCACTGAGCTTTCCAAATAGGTAGAATGACCAGAGAAAAAAGCTATCTTACTCCCGAGTTCAGTATGAAACTGACCTTGCAGTAAATAAGATGTAGAAAAGAAAATCAGATTCCAGAATTCTTACCAGACTGGGAACTTCCCAGGCCTGAAGAAATTCTGCTCACATTTTTAACACAGYGATCTAATTCAGTATGACAAAAAAGACTAAAATGTTATTGGAGCCTTAAAAAAAAAAAAAAAAAAGTATCCAGAGCGCGGGGAGAAGTCTCTAGCTGCCACCAAAGCAGTTACTGGTAGTAACGTTGATGCAATACTTAAAGATCTGCATAATCTCTGTTTCTCTAGCAGTTTGGAGCAACAAACAAGAAATTTAAAGGTTGGACTTGATCTTGGAGGTTTTTTCCAACCTTAATGATTCCATGGATCTATATTTATTAGTTCCATTGGTTACTGAAAGTGGGGGTTTGCTCTGAGGTCTGCAGTCCTCTGTGGGATTAATTTTTAAAAGTGGAATCCAAGTATTCATGCCCAAATTTAACCTGAAAGCTGAAGGTTTGGAAGGCTTGACCTCTCCTCCTTGGCTCACTCAGCAGTCAATCTCCCTTTCTTTACCTGAGCCCCAGCCAGGTTTTCTGTGCAGCTTTCAAGAAATGTGGCTGTAATTGAAGATCAAAAATGAAGTAATTGTGATTGCATAACTGGGCTGAGGAATGTTTTTCTGGATGTGAACAGAAAGGAGCTGCTGCTTAGTTAGAACCTTTTAATCTTTGTCCACTGGTGTCAATTCTTCTGTCTTTTTTTTCCAAAACAGTTCAGACAGAACTGAGCATCACTTTAACTCCATAAACTTGAGCTCCTGACCCAACCATAGAAAAAGGTGGACCTAATGAAAAAGCAAAACAGTTCACCCAAGAAATATAATCTGCTCGTGTGACCTTTCTGCATTAAAAGTTTCCATTAAGTTCTGTGGCATTTACCCGTCCCAGATTCCCCCAGGTAAAAGGAAATCAAACAAATGCTTCAAGCAAATGCTTTGTTTGTAATAATGTGGCAGGATCAATCACTACCAACCACAATGATTCAGGGKTTTTTTTTGTTGGCTTTGCTTTGGTCAGATAAAATCCTATATAAATTTTCTTGACTCAGGTCTGTTGACTCACTGTGGCAATTGTAGTGTGTCCTTCAACCAGGATATTTAAAGAAGTGCTAGAAGGAGTGATGCAATGATGCATCTTCTCAATAGTGCCTTGTAAAAGTCAAGTAAAAGTGTTCATTGCTTTGTTTAGAAAAACATTTCATTATTGAAATGTGTTTCATTTCARTAATATGTGAGTTAAACCTCAAAGTCTGGTTTAAAGTTTCTCTGAGTGAAGCGGGCTTTGGTCTGGGATTTGTTCTGCGGAACAAAGAGTTGTGTGTCAGAACTGAGATTTTAGTTTAGATCATGGTGCCGAGACCCAAGGTTTTGTTTCAGGTCTCTTCCTGCAGTTCTTTTTGCCTTTCTGAGGGAGTGAAACTTATGGAACCACATTTTAGATGTGTTAATATTTTTTGTTAAATCCGCTGATGAGATTTAGTTATCCTTGTTAGAGAAGTAAAAGCTTTGGTCCTGTCAAGCTCTTAYGCATTTTGTGAGGCCTTTACAGTAAGCTAGGTCTTCATCCCAAAAAAAGRATGGTGCCCCCAAAGCTCTCCCGAAATGAGTTAAGGGGTAGCATGACGCTCTTGCTCCTAAAGATGTTGGGGAATTTAGACACGACACACAGAACTTGTGTTCCTGAGCTCCACCTCTCAGCTCTCAGAGAGCACTATTGAGCTCCACCTCTCAACATGTTTGAGTCTGTCAGGTTCTCACACCTTTGGGGCAGGAACTCTCTCTGCTCTCCCCTGGGCAGATTGCTGGCACCTGACACACCATATGCTATTTTAATTTAAAATAAATGGCAGGGATTAGCTCCCCCCTGCCTTCCTGTTCCATCTGCTGCTGATATCCTTCCCAGTAAGGCAGAACTTCCAGTCTCAACTTTATTAGAGAAAGGGGTTACAGATTTTTTCTAGATAAATACTTGGCTTTCGTTGGAAGTGTCCTCAGACAGAGAAGGCACTGTCTGGCCAGTCACCACTTAGCAGAATTCTGTCATCCGCCAGTCATAATCTACAATGAAAATTGAAATATTATGATATATTTCCCAACACAGAGAAAATAGTGTGTTAAGGGAGCTGAGGAGCAGGAGGCGTGGTTGCGCCTTATTTGTTCAGCATTGGTGAGTCATTTAATCTGAATTTCTAGGCATTTTAAGAGTTTTGCTTCAAAGGTCTATTGTGTGGCTTCTGGCAACAAATTAAATACCAGTGAGGTTTGGCTCTTAATTTAGAAGTAATTTTAAAACATCACTCCTATATAAACCTAATTGAAAACCTATGGTCACTGGAAGGATTCCCAAGGATTTCACTGGAGTTTGGATGAGGGTCTCAACCCACAACTATCTATTTATTTTTCTTCATTGTGTTTAATCTTGGCTGGTAAGACAAGAATTATTCTTTCAGAATAATTTTACAGTTTTCTGACTTTTCATTTCTTTAGGCTAAAACTAACTTGAGGATAAAAAAATAAAATGTTGTAAAGAAAATCATCAAGCACTGAGAGAGAAGTAGGGGGGTGTACTTTTGCTTTTTTAGCTTGGCCTTACTGTGCTATAAACCATCATAGCATTGCAGATCTGTGACTGGTCAGATTTCATATTTTTTCTGATTTTTTTTCTTTTTTCAGATTTTTTTGAATGTCAAATACAAGTGTGGATTAAAAAAAAAAAAAAAAAAAAAGAGCAGAGTTTGAGTCTAAGTTCTGTTTGCAGATTGAAACCTGTGTTTTGTTTTCTGATTTGGCAATGAACAGCCCCCTGGCTCTCTTGGGGAATATGAACATGAAGGTTCATGTTCATAAATCAGATTTTTTTGAGAAATATTTCCCTCCAGTTGCTGAGGTTCTYCTACTTGCAGCCTTTGGGAACATCACGAGTTTTTTGTCTTTGGGCATTAAGAGTCTCTCCTGTCTCCAGAAATTGTTGSTGCCCACAGAGCCTTTCTCTTATTACCTCTTGTTAATGGCCCTAGAAGAGGCTACTCTATATCCAGTTAAAAGGAAGAYTTTTGGCAAGGGCAGAAAGGAGCTTCAAAGTCTCCCTTAACCCATGCCACTCAGCTTCTTTAGATGGGATGGAGAAAATCTTCCTTTTCTATTGCAGTAGTTCCCTGTTAGGTCCCAGGACAAGTGTTTGCCCTTCTGGCTTCGTGGAATAGCTGAGAGAAGTATAACTGACTGCTGGGTGGAGTTTACTACAGACCCAAGATTTTGGGGATCAAGAACCATTTGCCTCTTCCTGACACAAGAAGGAAACAAAAACAGAAAGCAAGCGAGAAAATGGAAGTGCATGGGGATCTCTCCAATTCCCTCAGAAAGCTRTAGGAATACACTGAAATCAGGCATCACTCCTAGGAGACAACACAAGGGAATGTGAAAGTGTAGATCTAAGCCTGTGGGAGGATGTGAAAAACAGAACAGGCATGTGATGTGAGTGCAGGATTCATGGGCTTTTCCACT